CATCCCTGAAACTCAATACCTGATCAAGAAATGGTCACTGATATAGAAGTGATAATGGGCATTCTTGTTTGGAAACAGTTGGGACTTCTTGAAGAATGCTTTGTACTTTTCTGCATATTTTACAGATTCAGGTTGAACAATCAGGATTTTAGAGCAAGGGGTTGATGGCAGAGGAGGTTTTACTGTGCATTCCAGGCAGCCTGGCAGGAGAAAAGCCACTGTGCAGGAGGTGTGGCTCCTTCCTTGGTGGTTGATTGCAGAGCACCACTTTGGCTGATTGTTGCATTAAGACTGTGAACTGGGCAGGGAGGCCCTGCAACAGCCTCTTCCCTTGTCTCTCTCCAACCCTGTTTTCCAGCTTTGATGAACAGATTTCCATCTGCTTGCATCACCCAAGTATATTGCTGTGTGCTTTTAAACTCTACATGCATGTGTCTGACATGGAGAGTGTGTCTGTATAGACCTGGGTGTTTTTGCATGAACATGTGCATATGTATACATGTGTCTATTTATACTTATTTTGGGTGTCAATAAGTCTCAATGTGTTAGTGAATATTTTGTTTTCCCTCTGAGCTTGGACACTTCTGAGTTGCCCCAGCAACTGTATGCTTGAATCTCTCAGCAACTGCACTTTCCTTGGATCATATTTGGTCACTCACCGTAAGTGATCCAGGCCTGTCTGGCGCTCTCTTTTCCAGATCCTGGCCACTGGCCATTGCAGATTTCTGTAGCTAGATTTTTTTTTTTTCCTGAAGAATACATTTCTGCTGTTTCATGGAGCTCAGTGCTCATTGTTAAGTTCAGAGGTGAGAGGATAAAAGCTGGTGGTGGGAAAATATGATCAGAGATTATAGACAATTGTTCCTTCCTCTTTTGTAGAAGGTGAATATCCTGACTTATCTGGAATGGGCTCACTTCTTTCATAAATATTCTCTTGTAACTACATACCACCACTGAGAGGCAAACCAAAAAAAAGGACTTTGAGTAAAGGTTTTGGCACAGGAAAGTGTTACTTATTTGGAGTTTCTTGGTAAAGGGTGAGGATAATAAGAATAAAACATAATTTTGTTGATTAAAATGAGTAACCTGAAATAAAATAATTTTAGATATCAAAATGATACCTTAGAGATAGAACACTTTCTCTTTTATTGTATCTATTGCAAAGAAAGCTTCGTTCAATTTTTTAAAACTTTCATCTCATCTTCTGTTGCCAAAACTGGGACCACAAAGCAAGACTTTAGTTAAGACATAGATGCTAATTCATGAGTGTGTACTTGTGGAAATGAAGGTCTGCTAAAAACAAAGGCAGAGGCACTTGATTAAGTAACCCATTAGCCTTGGAAGCAGAAGGTCACACAGAAACCTGAATTATCCCTCAGACATTGCCCATGTCTATTATTAAATGAGATGTTGAATAACAATCAATTATACTTAAAATATGATTAAATTTAATATTTAAAAGTAGTTAATATTTCTATTATCTATTATCAAATGGAATTTATTATTAAGTGAAAAATCACAGGCCATAGAAGCTCAATATTCCCTCATGTTCTCATGGCCTTTAGGTCCAGTGGTCTTTTTTTTCCCTTAATGTGTCTCTGTTACTCCTTCAGTGCTTCAAAGATGAAAATTAGGTATGGAATCAGTTTTACCTTGGCATGATTTGGAGGATTTGAATTTAGGAAGTGGCCAACTTTTTTCTTAACAAAATAGAGCCCTTTGGGAGTGCCAGAACCTTGTCCTGTCCAGATTCATCTGTTCACTCAGATAATCTTTGGGGGAGTCTGTCCTCTGTCCCTCATTATGTGGAAAAGCCCATCATTGGTTCCAGGTGAAGAACTAGAGCCAGTCATTCTTCTTTTGATTTCTAGAAGATGGGATCTTGAACATAAAAATGAACCCCTCAGGTCAAGCTTACTGATCCTGAGGCTGACAGTGGGGCTTTTCCAGCCACCAAATCCCAGAGGTCAGGGAAAACTTGGCAATGCCGGGGGTGGGCTGAGGAGCACACGCATCTGGAGGTTGAGGACCCAGAATGGTGGTTCCAAGTCCTTGGGATGACTGAGTGAATAGGATGTCCATTGGGTATCCCCAGATCCTGTGAGGGTCAAATATGGAGAAGCAAGCTGTGAGTCCTCCAACAATGATAGTCCCTTAGCCCTGAGACCTAAGCACAAGGGAGTAACTCATCTGAGGTCAGAGTATAGAGATGAGAAGCAAAGTCAACTGACAAAGGGATGTTCATTTCACCAGGTTATGGGAACACTTCTCTGTGTATTATTGCCCAATTCCCTCCTGAGTATTCCAAGAACTTAACATTGTAAAGAAATGTGTAAAGTTAACCAAAATTCAAAATTGTTGCTAAGCCTGTCCCTCACACTGTCTCCTCACTGATATTAGAAGACTCTGGATATACACTAGGTGAGAAGGTGTTCCCCCCACAGTCACACATAACTGAGACCCACTTGGTGAAGGGAGTTTCCCTCATGACTGTCCATGCTGATGGGACCTCAGCATGCCTGGAAACTAGCAGACAGCATTTCTTCATCCCAGAGAATAAGAGCATAGGGAGCAAAGACAAGATTTATTATTAAACAACTTTAATCCAAATGCTGATTATTATTTGCAGTGTCTGAAGGCACAAAATATACCTAAAATGTATGGAATAGTCTAAACAGAGTTATAAATCCAAAGAGCAAAGCATGAAAAAAAAGATACATTCTGATCTGACACAGAAATCTGAGTTGGGAAGATTCTTTTCCTAGAGAACTTGCTTGAATATCAATCATTTCCCCTCATGCCAGAAAAAAATAACATTAACATGGAGAATAACACCATGAGGTGTTAAGGATTTTATATAAGCTGAATACTTCTTTCTTGAAGATACTGGTGTTCTCTCTCTCTCTGACACACACACACACACACACACACACACACACACACACACACACACACACACACCTCTCATTTCTCTCTCTCTTTCTGTCTCCCTGAAGTCCATTCTAAGTAAAGCCATCCAAGAAGACATCCATGCTATACCCCAGAAGGCAGGTCATCTCAGGGGAGAAAAACAGGCTTGAGTGTGAGATAAGGCAGTGAGACCAGAATTTGATTAAAAAAATAGAGATATATATGAAAAATTGACCATCCAGGGCAGAGAACCCAGAGTGCTGATGGAAAACAAAGCCTGCTCTTCCTCGGGGTGATGGTGACCACCTAGGCTTCTCCAGGTGCACCTGGCTCCAAGCTCCACATGCTCTGATTGGAGAGATGTCAATGAATTGCCTTGGTAGCATGAATATCAGGCCATTCTCAGCATTCAGAGATAAATAACATAATTATAAACACTTTCTTCCCCAGGGTGCTTTTAGCTAACTGTGTGATGTGGCTGTTCCTTACTGCTCAATCATGTCAGTCGAGATTTTAGGAAAGAAATCAATCCTGGGCTAGTTATCACCCTCATAAATACATCTCTTGAATAACTCTACAAGACTATAGAAGAGGCAATCAATAGGACATTGTATTTCCCTATGACCACAGACTCAGGATCTCAGCTCCCTGATTACTGCTGGGGATGGGAGCCTCATCCCACTCTGTGCAGATATGGGCTGTGCTCTCTATTCTCACAGGCCAGGAAATCAGAATCACCTTTGTCTTTGAGGAGGAACTGAAGTGGCATAGGTCAGATTCCTACAATCTCATTCTTCATGGTTCTCTATACTTGAGTTGCTCCAGAAAGGGCAATGGGAGGCGTAGGACTCTTAGGTCATCCTAGCCTTACAAAACTGGATTTCCCAGCAAGTTCAACAGCACAGGGATAGGCCTTAGAATCTCAGAAGACTTAAGTTGCTCTCAGTATGCCCCTGCTATGGGCTAGATTGCTATGGCCCATATGGGCTAGATTGCTGCTTGGGGACTCCTGGTATAGAGGACATGGTAAAACCTGGAGAGAGGGTTTGTGCTGGGACTGGCCCTGTCGGGCAGTCTTCCCAGAGTCATGCCTTTACCTTTGGGGCTATAAGCTAAGGGCTAAGGTTTCTTCCTGCTTTTCTCTAGTCCCCATCACTTCTTATCACTTGAAGTTCAAGCTTCTCACCTGAGGCATCTCCCTCAACTCGTTCCAACATAATCCTTTTACCTGAAACCACAATGCTTCTACTCCCTGCATCTGTGACCCCAGTTTTCTCTCTCACCTGGGACCATGGGTCCAAGCCCAAAGGAATAGTTTTCCCTACCTAGCCTTTTATCCCATCCCCTCACCTGGTCCACATGACCCTCCGCCCCACCTCACATCTCCTCCCTCTATATTCTATCACTTGTTGATTCTTGTAATTTTAAGAAGGTAAAAAACAAAGCCATTTTGATGACACTAAAGCACCTCAGCCTCAAAGCGCTCAGAGACTGTTACCTCAACGTGGGCAGCTTTTCTAGGGGTTCATGGGACAGATGCATGCTGTAGCAAACTGTGACAAATAGCAGGTGGCCACCTCATTCCAGATTGCCCATGGTGCCCCTATATCCAGGGCACCTCCTCAATCCCAAGAGCAGCAGATCACCCTATAGCACAGTGACTCAGTGTGCCAGGCCAGACTCACTCTTTATCTGTCTGAGGGAGCATGAGGAATGAGGGCCAGGAGGAAAAAAAATGGGACAACAAGCCATGGGGCAAGGCAGCAGATGGCATTTGGGGATCCTCATCTTCCCTTTCCCCCCAGCAGGAAGGGGCTCCTTATCTGGTCACCCTTCTTGCCCTCAGAAAGGCCCAGGAACATGGGGGCTCCTTTGGCACTTCAGAATGATCACAAGTAATTTGCCTTTTTATTCATATAGAACAAAATTTACAAAGTCATTCATACAGTTTTTGTGTGTTTTTTTTACTGACTTCGAAAATTGGGAATATTCAAAATACACTTTTACCCCACTCCATTCTGTCATTATTTACACATATGTACAAGAAAAATGAAAGAGTCTCTGTGTGTGTGTGTGTGTGTGTGTGTGTGTGTGTGTGTGTGTGTGTGTGTGTGTTGTGTGTGTGGTTTGTGTTGTTGTTTCTTGTATTAAAAAGCTCTGCTGGTCGGGTGGGTTGGTGGGCAGGTGGGAGGGCAGGCGGCGTGGTCAGATGGAGGTGCCATGGGAGGTGTCCAGAGCCTCTGGAAGGACGCCCCCAGGCACGGGCTGGAAGGACATGGGGATGGGGGTCTTCACCGGGCTTTGTCGGAATAGCCCCCCATTGGGCGACCTGTGTTTGCACTGCATGGCGGGCATGGTGGCCGAGCTGCTCAGCGGCAGCGGCAGGTTGCTGCTGGGACCTGACGAGAGTGTCCGGCTGGTACCGTGGCTGCTTTGCTCTGGCAGAAAGGTGCTGACTGAGAGCTGGGTGTTCTGATACTCCCGCGTCGGCTCTAAGGTCTGGCTGGGAGCCAGGCCCCCCATCTCCAGGGCCGAGAGCTCAATAGAGGCTGGGGAAATCTGCTTGTGAGCAATATCTTCATCCATTAGGCTGTTCATGCGCCGATGGACCTGCTCCAAGTTTACTTCCTTGTCCTGCATGAAAAGCACAGAAAGGTCAGACTGAGCCCTAACAGTGAGCCAAGGGCTGACTTGCTACAAACTCTGGACATCTGGAGACACCGGGCCTGGTCAGCCTGTTGGGCTATGAGTGAGTATTTCCCACATCACTCCCCACCGCCTCAACTGTATAAACCCTCAGTTATCTGGGGAAGCTGTGGGTGAGGACACTGACCCCTGTGTAGCAGAGACCCTGCCAGCAGACCTTAGCTACATCCTGTCTCCCCTCAGTACTCAGCTTAGAATCATTACCATACCCAGAGACAACGCTTAGGACAAGAGCTGGCAGAGACAGAAGGAGAGAGGATTCACATGGGAATAAAGGAGATGGCCCTTGAGCCCCTAATGTGTCCCATGCATTTACCATTTAGAATTTACAACACTAAGAAAACTTGGTATGATCCTCCCCATCTCACATAAAAGGAGTCTCCGATTCAGGCAGTCAATGACTTGCCCCATGAGTGTTAGTGGCAGCCCAAAAACCTGGATCAGGAGAGAAGTCTTGCCTCATCTGGTGCCAATCTCTCCAGACAGGCCAGGGAGGGGTACATGTTCCTGTCTGGAAGGATTACAGGAAATGGGTTTCTGGATGGAAATGGAGGGTGTTGATGTGGATGGTGGGGAAAGGGACTTCCTCAGGGTCAGCTGACTGTCCCGGTGTCATGAGGGTTGGAGGCTGCCTAGGTGGGTGATCTTATACCTGACACTGTCTCACTATGGCAGAGGGCCTCATAGCAAATTGTTTGGTTTGCTCATTTATTTATTTGATTAAGAAAGAAAGTAGAACAGAACAAGGTCAAACTTCTTGAAAAATCAGGGAAGATGTGATTTCCTTCCTCTTTTCCTACAGTGAGGCACAAGGCTAGGTGACTAGCAAAGGAGTCATATGAGTTCTCAGGTGAGGTTAGAAGCTTCCAGCCTATTTAGGCAGCGTAGGTGCTGATGTGCCAGGCAAGATGATGATCCCTTCCTCACATAAAACTCCGAGAGAAACATTGTGCCATCCAAGACTCAACCCTGCAGGTGGTCCAAAGTTGACATCATATATCAAAAAGGAACCCATGCCCTGTTTACCTTCTAGGGTACTTAGAAACCCCAAGAAGTGTAGAAGCCTTGGAAATACTTTCAAAAAGAAAAAGGAGCAACCATGCAAATCTAAGGGCCACTCAGTGACTACTGTGAGCTCCCATGGGACTGGCAGGTAAGAATTCCAGGAAGAGGAATGACTCCCACTCCCAGATGAGTGCACCAACCACAGGGTGAACTCCCATGAAGTTTCAACCCAGTATTTCTTAGGCAAGTGCTCTGCCGTTCACTCTTTGCTGCATTGTCCCCTGGCACAAAGAAGGTGGGACCAGTGCCCTCTCCATGCCTTTGCGAGTTCTTGGCTTACAACAGAGTTTGGCTTTTTGTGGGACAACTCCTTTCATTCCCAGAACCTTTCCCAGGATAAGAGAACTGACAACGTCCAATAAGGCACTAGAGAACTTGTTCTTCACTGGGAGGGAACCTGAGAATAAGAGAGCCAACTCATTTGAAGGTAGAGGAGACTATGGGATGTAGCTTGGTGTCATAGGTGGATATGACATCAGAAGCTGTTGGCACAGCCTCAAAGATAAAGTTAAGATTCCAGTGACCTGAAGCCTCACACAGCAGAACTCAGCACACTGGTGCTAGAGACCATCTCTGACTTGGGGGCACCTCTGGGTAGCAATTGTGATGGGTGAAATTGGAGGAATTTGCTGCAGAGTACCAGGCAAATTCTACTTTGGCATGCTAAATTTGATTTATGCAGTGTTTTTGCTGACTCCTTCAAAAGTTTATAAAATATATTTTCCTAATAAAGTTATTTCCTAATTAACTCACACCATGGTTGAGCCAGCTCAGTGCAACTTTGCCCCTTTTTGTGTGTGTTGTCTTTAGTTTTGCATGTGAAACTATTTTTAATAGTATTGTGTTGGACATTAGTGACTTGGGACCATTCAGCATCAATGATCTTTTCTTAAATAAGTCCCTGGTTTATTTGCTTTTAGAAACATACTATCCCCACTGGATAAAATATTGGCAGATGGCCTGCCCACCTAACCAAAAGATAGAACCATAACCCAAACAAGAATAGCAGGACTGAATCTGAATCCTGAACAGAGATAGAGAGACAGAAAGTATTGGTGCCTCAACTGTTACAGCAATAGTGCTCCACCAAACTTTCTTTTTTTTTTTTGAGTTGGAGACTCGCTCTGTCGCCCAAACTGGAGTGCAGTGGCCGCTCCTGGCCACTGCAGCCTCTACCTGCTGGGCTCCGGCGATCCTTCCGCCTCAGCCATCCGAGTAGCCGGAATTACAGGCATGCGCTACCACGCCCGGCTGATTTTTTTTTATTTATTGTAGAGATGAGGTCTTGCTGCCCAAGCGGGTCTCGAACCCACGGGCTCAGGCAATCCACTCACCTCAGCCTCCCAAAGGCGCGGGATTACAGGCTGAGCCACCGAGCCCGGCTTCAAACTTTCTTTTCCATGGCCATACTCCTAGAGCCTGGGTCCCATGCCTCTGGACAAGCCTGACTCCTACCCATCACCAAACTTACATCTCCAGCCTTCTCATTGAGCTCTGGATACACCTCCTCTGTCTTCATTAGCCAAAGTCAGTACCACAACCGTTTTGGTAAATGTTTGAATCTAGAGGCCATTTTCATTTTAAAATGTATAAAGGGCACAAGACTGGTACCAAAGAGCTTGGAAGGCAGAACGTTGAGAGAATTTCAGATACTTTTAGGTTAATACAATAACCTTCTCTTCTCTTTACAGCTAACAAAGTTTGGACAAGACTGAATAAGCTGAGTGCACTCACTGACAGAGATTTTCATTTTCATGGAACTGATGACTGATGTTCCAGGGAATCACTGGAAGAACTAGTTAGTTAGTATAATCTTGCCTTTTCCTCCTTTCTTATTTTCCCTTCAGGATTTTAAAGACTCCTTTGGGGATGAAAAGAAATAAAGTTTGAGCAGACTAATTTGAAGTGGGGAGCAAGTGTCTTGCTTCTAATGGTGTTTACTCTGGATTCCGGCAGTTGGAAGAGAAGACCTGTTTTTTTTTTTCTCTTAGTTAATTGAGCACTGGGCAAGGACAGGTATTCAGGATGTGTTCTCCACTTTGTGGGAGCCTGGAGATAAGAAAAGGCTAACTTCCTGTCTGAAAAGGCCATACGGAAGCAGGGAGTAGAAAGTGAAGAGCAAAGAGAAAAAAACCCTCTGTACTTAATGGCAGGGAAACAAACATAAGAAGGGAAGACAGACAAACCCAGACCCTTTGAAGAAAAATGTGAGCAAGGGAAATCTCTGAGGTAGATGACTCCACCACTAAAGTGAAAGGGAAATGTGGTTGGAGGGTGGTGGATTGTCAAGTGGCAGAGAACAGGCACCTGGCTGGAAGAATAAGCACAGATGTGGAGAGGTGATGAAGTAATGTTAAAGCATTTAGAATAAAGACCAACTCAGAGACTGTGTGAAGAGATGGCCAGTTACCTTCAAGTCAGTTATTTCTGAAGGAAGAGCTTGAATAAATAGTTTCTTTGACCCATATATATATACATATATATATATATATATATTCTTGCATCACATTAAGGACAGATGAAGCAATTCTAAGGACTGTGAAGCTGTGCAGTGCAAATCAACTCCCAATTGCAGTTATTCTTTAGTCTTTAACCTCTCCATGTCAGGACACACCAAATAAACAAACTTTCCAGGGGGAGCTTCCTACTGCAAATAATTATTAAGAAATCCATCCTTTCCACTCAGTGACACCTCTTGCTATTCAAATTCCATTACTCCCAGCAGCTCCAACACCAAGACAAACCCTAAAAGAAGAGGATGCCATCTTGAACCTCTTATTCTAGCTGTTTAATTGGACAAGAAAATGAGTAGAACTATAGCAAATGCCTCCTACTTTTTGTGGAAAACAGATCAGCCGATTGCTGAGTCTCACAAATGTACTTTAGGCTGCTTGCTCCTGCTGCTGTCCAAAAAGGCCAGAGCTGAGGTGCAGAGAACAGGAGAAGGCCTGCTTCTCTGGAAACCCTGGAAGCATTGTCTTCTTGTACCACCTGGGGCTGTAGATTTAGTACATGCAAAGTCATGTCTGGCTGCACCTTCTGTGTCTGCAGCCAAGAAAAGAGGAGGCAGGAGTAATCAGCCTACTCAAGGAAAGAGGCAGAAGTGATTTGAATAATTATCTATCTTTTAGACAAAATGGTGCATTCTATTATGTTATGCAAATTCAAATAATGGGCTTTTTTATGTGAACTACATCAGTTTACATCCTCATTATCCCAAGGTTTCGGTGTTCAGCCAGGTAATGACAGCTGTGGAAGGAGACTTGGAAACTTACTGTTGCCTTCATTAATTTACCGTAGGTAACTGACCTCGTCAAACATCCCTGAATATGGCATAAAATTCACTGACTGTGTTTATCCATGAATCCGGCTGAATTCCAGCTCTGTGATTCTTACCCCATATTAAACATGACAACAGGTGCACCAACAGAGGTTACTGGGGAACCTCTCCCAGGCATTGTCTTGCAGAGAGATAAAGTTCTGTAATTAAGCTGCTGTTCACCAATGTGGAAATAATACAGTGTATTGGAAAACGGTAATTAACTAAACTATCATCTCGGTAACAGACTGTTACACATGGGACTCCTTAGAACTGACTTTGTTTGGAGTCCAACAGCTCGTACTTTAAGTTAGGCAAGAACAAAACTGGGGATGAGGGACTTCCCACCTGTCCAGGATAGTTGTTGGAGACAGTCTCCTGTTCCCACTAAGACCAGACAGGTGGTAAATGAGTCCCAAGGGCTGGGAGAAATGTCACCAACATGATCTTCTCAAGTCTTACTTCTAAGACTTGTACAACCCCAAACAGACTGGGCTGGGATCTGTGAGCAATGGTTGGGTAAAGGCAAAGGAGCTAAATGTTA